GCCACAGCACCCAGCTGGTGTGACCCTTGAGTAGCAGGGCACTCCATCTCTGCAGCCCCTAMACCCAGATCCTAACAGGGCAAAAACCCTAGGCTCCACATACACATTTAATGGTATCTTCTTTTGAAATCATCCATGCTAAAATGAGGCTATGATCTCTAATTTTCTCCATAATAAAGAAGGACTAAGAAGAAAGTGCCCCTTTGATTCTCATATAGAACATCACAACCTTCACTGTAAACTCAACATTATCTACCCTTTCCAAACTAGTAAATTATGATTTACCCCAAGTTATATGACGTGGCTGACAAAGCCAGCCTGTCATTCAGTAAGTACTGGGGCTTCAGCATCTTCCTAAAAATAGCACTTTCTCATGACCACCAATTTAGCAAGACAGTGACAATTGCTATTTATAAGCATAGGAGAGCATAGGCACAGTTTTTGTCTTTACAAACTTTKCCACAATAGACTTAGAAAAGACATCTTGGGGCAGAACCATCATATTATCCTGGGCAGTAAAAAAAATAGTAGAGCCTKTGCAATACATCTATTTAAAAATTGACTTCTTTAGAAAGCTCCAAAAACTCATTTCTAGCCTTAGAAATTGTGTGCTGTTTATCAAGATGCTTCCTCCATGCTCCCAATTACATTATTTGGATGACATTCATTTTGAAGCCTCATCCTCACAGAATGCAACATTTTTGTTTACAGGGAAGAGGGAAGCAAGCTACTTTTACATACTTTATATAGGTTTTGTGATGTAAATAAGCTGTTGGAAAGGCAGTTTGTGAAAAAACGGGTGCTTTTGGTGCTTTTTTAGTCTGATTAAGGACTCTGCACAGCCCCCCATTAGCATGGGACACGGGGCTCATTTTGCTTACCAATTAAAGTGCTTCATCATGACTGGCCAGGCACAATTAGAAATAACAGCACAAGGAGAGCAAGCGAAGGCGCAGAAATCTGCGGTGAGCAGAGAGCTACTTTACTACATCACCAGTAAATAAGCACAGTGTGAAACAACGTTCAATGACTTTACTTTGCAAACCCCAAGGCAACTAACAACTGTACCCAGCGCTTCAAATGGCCAGCTGGCCTCTTACCACCTACTGCAAGCTCTGAACACTCAGTTAACTTCCAAACACGGCTGAAAAATAAATGAGCTGGCAAAATAACAGTAATCTGAAAGACAGACATCCATATTAAAAAGCAATTGCTCATCCCTTCTGAAATCACCAGGTTTCTTTCCTAAGTACAAGCATTACCAAAACACACACATCCAGACTCCTAAACCCAGGGTGAAAACAGACCCCATAGCCAGGGTCAGTGCCTGTTAGCAAGTAGCTATTGTCACATGGAATTAGTTGCATTTGCATTGATCTCCATTACCTTGGGAATAAGTATTTACAATCCTTTAATTTATAATCACTGCATAAGAAAACAAACAAAAACCTTAATTTTCAGTTATTGCCAGTAGTAAAAATGAGTGTTCTTYCTCAAATGCACTTAAAATAATTTGYACAGCTCATGATAATTTAATTTTGGGTCAAATAAATGWTTTAATCTGTCTCAAGAAAGTTTTATATCCTATATGGCTTCTTTATACGCCTGAAGAGAAGGCTGAGGGAGGACCTGATCGGTGTATACAAATAGTTCAAGGGAGGCAGAGAGGAGGATGGGGTTGGCCTCTTTTCAGTGGTGGCCACTGGYAGAACTAGAGGAAACGGCCACAAACTGAAGCACCAGAAGTTCCACAGGAACTGAAGGAAAAAATTTCTTAAGAGTGAGGGTACCCGGGCACAGGCTGCCCAGGGAGGTTGTGGAGTCTCCTTCTCTGCAGATCTTCCCAACCCGCTTGGATGCAGCCTGTGCCACGGGCTCCAGGTGACCCTACGTGTGCAGGGGGTTGGACTAGATGATCTCTACAGGTCCCTTGCAACCTTACGCATTCTATGATTCTTTCAAATTGAATAAGTTAAAGCTGAATAAGTCTGAGTGTTAAAAAAATTATAAAGTTACCATTTGTCACTTTTTAAGGTTTCCAGAAGTAACTGACACAAACAATCCAGACATTTGTTGTCACTGAACCTGCACTTAACAACAAGTGAAAAACTTGAGTCCACCCTAGAAAGTGGACTTTCTGCTTGCTTTTGAGAGCCTGGCTCCTAAGGCAAGAAAACCCAGAGACCCCACCATAGAKGAAGCAGATTTTTAAGATTACGATGCCTTTAAGTGTAAAAGGAGAGACATCAGATATATGCTCTCGGTGTCTGTGGACAGCAACAAGGCACATGCACATGCCCATGTTATCCTAACTAGCTCCTAGATCAGGCTCTGGAGACAAACACAGGACAAATGAGTTCTTTTCACAAGTGATCCAAATCTTTAGCTTTCCCTGATCTTRTTGAATATGATGACATTTACAATAACTAAAATAGAGATAGACAGAGGGCAGATTCAATGATGGGAACACCTTTCCACAYGAGTACATGAGGCCATGTGGGAGCTAAAGGAAGACTGCATGGAAGAACAGTGTCCAGTCACTATTGGTGAAGTGCAAGGAAGACTTGGAAATCCATCCTGTTTTAAGTTACTTCTATTAATATTTTTGAAATTTATTCTGCTGTGAAGTGACCTGAAGAAGAGCAATGAGCCATAGATTAAGCTTCAAATGCCAAAATTTATCTCCAGCGAACCATGATGGGGTCTGTTGGTAACTAGAAGAGACTGGGTTTTGGCTGCAGGAGGAGGACTGAGCGGGTTCACTGCCTGCCCTGCATTGGCACCAACTGCTCTTGGCTTGGGGATTTGCCCCTACCAGYGCTCACCCAGCGAGCTGCTTGTTTTTGGCTGCGGAAGAGACTGTGCAGATTCACCTTGCTTTGGTCGCCTCTGTGCAAGATTAATGCAGCGCATCCCTCTCAGCCCAGCTGAACGCAGAGCAGCTGCAGAAAAGCATCTGCTGCCCCTCTGAGCGAGGGAACCAAGGGGAGCACCAGCACCTGCAGCACTCAGGCCACGGGCTGCCTTTCGGTGGCTTCTTGCAGGCCACACTCGCGCTTGGGAAGTTTTTGCTAAGCCCTGTGCAGCTCCAGGCTCCATCCTCCGCGCTCCCTCCCGCTGCCCGCACTGTCCCAGCCATTAGGAGCTGCCAGGAAGCTCTTGCTCTAAGACTGAGGTAAGATCTCATGGGACTGGTAGGCTCTCAACTAATAGTCTCAGCCTTTGAAATTCATTCCCTTTGGCAGCTTCCCAAAGCCAGATGCTAATGACCTTAGGCATGATGCAAGACCTTCTTATTGGTGTTTTATTATTTTTTTTCCCCCAAGATAGCAATTCTGAACCTTTCTTATCATTGGAGAAAGTGTCCATTTTGGCATTGCAAATAACCACTGAACTGTTACAGAAATATGGTCTCAGTCAATCCCACAAGTGCAGTAGTCATTCACTCAGTAGCAACAACTGTTTTTGAAAGGTTCTTTCTCTAGCAAAGCAAGGTCTTAGGATACAAGCTGAGTTCAAAGACAACTTTGGCCCCATACCCTTCTCGCAGTCCTGCAGGGGTTTGGCCTGAGGGGCTAATTGCTGAACTGGGACTTGGGAGACGCGCACCGTGCTGCAGTCTCGCACCCGGCTGCTGTGTCACCACCAGCAGACAACGTCACCCTCCCCTCGCTGCCGTGCTCCTCTCCCAAGGGAGCTGCTGCCCGCTTGCTGTCCCCGCAGCAGCGACCCCAGTGAGCCCAGCGCCATCCTTCCCTCAGCTAACCTCACGCAAACCTCTTAAAAACACACCTTCAATGACAGGAGCTCAGTAAACTGGTTTCTAGCATAGCAGTGCCCTAACTTCTCTGTTTGATCATTTATTGAGCCGCAGCAGGGGGTTCCCTGGCAGTCACTGCAGGCAGGGTGAGCAACAGCAGAGCTGAACTGATAGGTAATGCCATAAAACCAGATTTCTCAGACTGAACTTCTTTTGAGGCAGATTTCAATTTGGACCCCATTCCATGAGAAAAGCAGCAGCAATGGGACAGTGCTCCTATACAAAGATACATATTTTCACTTGGGGAAAAAAAATGTATCAACTGCATAGTGATACTGCAGTGAATGAATTTTAGTTCCTTGGTGCCTCGCAACAAATCCACAACTGCTGTCTACAAATTTTCATTAAAATCAGTTCTTGCTCAGTGTTTCAGTCAACTACTGTGAACACAGAAAACGTACGTGTGACTCACCCGCAAAAGAAAATAAGAGCAATAAACAGGTTTTGAACTTTYTCGCAGTGAATTTAACTTTTTCAGCAAGCAACAATCTGCACTAATTTACAATTGACATCACACAATGAAGCCCCCACCTGTGTCTAACAGAACAGGGCTTCTCTATAATCCTAATCAGAAAGTTACTATCTCCAGTCTCCTAAACTCTAGATAGGTATTACTAARGTACTTTGTTTAGGCTTATCCTCATCGTTTTTGGTCACCACTGCACAAATCCTCAATGGCAGCATTAAAGATGCTGCATCATTGACTAGGTGAGCACAGAGGAAGGGAGCTTCTCACCATCCATAGCAGCAGGAAAAAGGAAATAATCCTTTTCAAGACCAGTAAGAGGGAAGCAAAGCGTGTTTAAAAAGTCCTGTCCCTGGAGATTTTCACCTGCTGACATAAGTCTATCTCTTTCTTTTTGAATGGCCAGGTGATTCTTTCAGCTCCCTCTTTCTAAAGCTCTGTGGACCATCTGCATTTGCTCATTTTCCCAAGGAATCCACGCAGGTATCAACATCAGCGACGGTTTATAGAACACCTAAGGCAACAGCAGTTTCCTGGAAATGAGTCAACCACAAGCTCTACAAGCAGAGCTCGAGGACGGGACTCGCACGGTCCTTCAGCAGCGCCCTCGAGGCCGCTCCCTGCGCGTGACGAACGTGACCTTGGCTGGCAGGGAGGCTGCGCTGCCCGTGYCCGGCAGGCCGGAGAGCCGGCGCTCGGCCACGCTGACGGTACCTGAGCTCTCCGCAGCGCGATCCCCAAAGCCATGGTGGGGGCTGCTCCTGCCCCGCTCTGACACTCGCTGGAGGAGCTGGGGGAGCCCAGGCTGGCAAGCGCTCGCCCCGTGCCAGCAAAAGTGCTTTTCACAGAATCACAGGATGGCTGAGGTTGGAAGGGACCTCTAAAGATCATCTAGTCCAACCCACTGCACTCCAGCAGGGACGCCCAGAGCACAGGGTGGCATCCACGTGGGTTTGGAAGGTCTCCAGAGAAGGAGACTCCCCAACCTCCCTGGGCAGCCTGCTCCAGGGCCCTGTCACCCTCACAGTGAAGAAGTTCTTCCGCACATGGAGATGGAACTTTCTATGTTYCAACGTACACCAACTGCCCTTTGTCCTGTCACTGGCCACCACTGAGAAGAGCTTGGCCCCTTCCTCCCTACATTCATCCTTCAGGTACTTACACATATTGATCAGATCCCCTCTCAAAYTTCTCTTCTCCAGGCTAAACAGGCCCAACTCACTTAGTCTTTCCTCATAAGAGAGATGCTTCAGTCCCTTAATCATCTTTGTCGCTCTCCACTGGACCTTCTCTAGAAGCTCCACATCCCTCTTGTCCTGGGGAGCTCAGAGCTGCACCCARTGCTCCAGGTGTGGCCTCCTTTTTGGCGGGCACTCAGCAGCGTTTGTGGCACTGCTACAGTTCAGCAGCATATATTTCCAGAGTATTTCTAATGATCTATTATTAATTGCTAGGAATTACATTCTAGTCCTACTTAAATTCAGACGGGAGTGAAACTGCACAGCTTTCAGCTGTCAAGGGCTGTAATTCAGCACTTAAATCACATGAGTCAGAAGTTGTAAGYGGACTGATTTATACTAATTTGCACCACCTTATTCATCTAGGGGAAATCTGTAAATAATGAAAGAAAAACAGAGAAAGGACATTTGAGTAAGATGGTATCACTGAACCAACATTCAAATTAAATCATCAAAATAAAGATACACTAGCACTACTATTTTAGTGAGATCTTAGGCTATAAGCTCCCTGCAGATTGTTAATTGGGATTTTGGGGACAATTGGGATTTGAGAGCCAGACCCCTTGCGCACAGAGCGCTGCAAGTGCACTGAGGTCACTCCAGTCACGCCAGCTCCCACTGACTGAGGCTCTGTGCCACGTTTATGCTAAGGAGGGACATGGTTAACATTTTTTGTGCAAAGGAGAGGGATGTTAACTATGCAAAATAAAGACCTGGCTGATCTGCAAGGGAGTCTGCTGCTCAACTCTCTGGTTAGGGTGTGCATTCCACAGCAGGGAAAGAAAAAGGCAGCGAGGAGGAAAAAAAGAAAAAAGAAGTAAAAAAGAGGGGACTGGAAACTCCACCTGGATGCTATCAGTCTTGCCCATGTAAACAGTCCTGACATTAGTGCTAGCCTGCTGAGTGGTACAGGTTAGGAAGGGTCACAAAGGCAAAATGGTGACCAAACTTGCCTCGAGGAAGAGATGCTCTGGAATCTGTCACGCGGGCAGAGAGCTGAAAGCTCATTTTATCTAGAAGTCATTTCATTTTAGAGTTCAAAACAATTAAAGACATTGAAAGAATTGTACAAACACGGATTATAGCAAGACAGAAACAATCCCCTCTTTTCATATAAACACGCACTCGACTGCACACTTAGGGTGATGTGTATTGTTCCCAAGATAACAGTGCAGCGCACCCATACAGCGGCAGGAGAATTTGAGAGAGATAGCAAAAAATCCACCAAAAATCCACAAAGGAAGTTTTCTCCATAACAGCAAATGAAAATTCACCCCTCCAAGTAACATGATTAAGTTTTTGTTTAAAAAAAATCAGGTAAATAGGCATTCAAGTAGCAAATACAATAAAAGATCTGTAAAATAACTGGTCTACAATAACCCAGGTTTTTGCACAAGTAYGAAAAACATTGTGCTATACAAAAACACAAGTGAAAAAAGAAATTATATTGTAAAGAAACTTTTCATGCAGATCTGCAGAAGAAATCAAACGTCAAGGGGGTCTAATAACTTCTCTCAACTACCCCTGTTGCAGTACTCAAGGCTTTCATTGCCACAACCCAACAGTGACATGATGTTATTGCAAAAGCCCCTTGGGATAAACTTTCTTTTCACACTCACCTTGTYAACTCACACCCTTAACTGCAAACCAGAGAAATATCTATTTGTATGCATTAACCACTGGGCTGTGACAATTGTTTCACGAGAAATTTCTTTAAACGGCTTTAAGTCCACTTGAAAGCCTTAAGAAAAACAGCCTAGAATAAACRTAAAGTAACAGATGAAAATTTCGTTCTTTACCATTTATACAAACAACTCTCAAAAATACAACTCAAAACCCCAACTGGAAGCCCCAGTTCCTGAAAAGTAAGTTTTACCAGTAATTTTCACAAACTCTGTGTCCCTCCCAGCTCTTTGTTCTGTCCCAAGGAAACAGAAAGCAGGATGAATGATATTTGCATCGAACTACAAGACTCAGTGTTTGCGTGTTTGAATAACTGTCCACATGTACAACTGGAGCAGAAGGTTACGACTAACTTGGAAATGAAAWGGTTAATAAATCTTAAATTGATCCTTTTCCAAACACGTCCAAATAACACAAGAAAAAAAYAGCCTCAACTGTAAAGTGAAGTTCTGAACTAATTTTACTTCTCATAGCGCGTGCCAGGAAGTGTATTACATGCCATTGGCGAGATACCAAACCTGGAGACTCTGGGGGGATGACTGAAGGAATCCTCACAATTCTTCATCTAGGAAATAAATTCTATGCTAGAAGGAAGAGCTCCGTAACACATGCCAGCTGGTACCCTTGCCTTCTTTTTATGAAGAGGGAGAATGAGAGCCAGCTTCCTCATATATCGACCAGGACAGCAGGCCAAAAACAACCCTTGGTAACAGCAGCAGAAAGAGCAACTTAGATGGTGCTTTTTTTTTTTCCCCCACCTCCACAACTGCCTGTGTCACAAGCACTTCCTTAAGTGTTAATATCAATCTGAATGATCTCAGCTTTACACCAGGAAGCCTATTAGAATAACTGGGAGCATCCTTTGGCCCATTAATTGTGAGAGAATAACATCTAAGTGCGTTGCAAAAAGAAAAGCTGATGCTGAAGCAATCATACCACAACTGCTTTCAACCTTCATATGATTTTTCTTTTAAAATATCTCAAGCAAAAATTGAAATTACAGCCAAATTGAAGGTCAAATATCTTGCTTTGCTATAAAATAAGCACACTAAAGTTGAAATTCAAATGCATACTACATTGTACGAAAAATATTCAGATAAGAAGCAACTAGTACTTCAGAGAAAGGATGTTTCCGTAAATCTGCAAGACCCACTTCTTTAAAGTAGATGTGGGGAAAGACACCAAGCAATTTAAATGCTCATGCAGACGGGCAGAGAACCATCTTTAACCACCTCCAAGGAATCCTCAGGGAAGCTCCCGTAGAGCAGCAAGAGGCAGTCAGGGACACACGGGCCTGAGCTCAGCTGTCCCCGGCTCCCCCAGGGCTGCAAGGACCTCRTGGGGCCACCTGCAGCCACCCTCTAGGTCGGGTGACCCTCAACCTGCTCTGAGCTGAGACCAAAGCCTCTCTCCTGGCTGAGGACACAGGCACCAAAGGGCCACGTAGCCACCTTCCCCGTGCATGAAGTACCCTGTGTATGAGGGGGTTTATTTGAGTCATCCATTCAATTGTGAAAGGACTTGGCCCATATAAACTCGTGTTTAAAGCCCATGCTCAAATCCCACGAGTTGAAGAACACCTCATTTCACATTTACAGTGATAGGAAATCACTAGCATAATAAAAAAATCAATAATTAATATCACAAGGCCTTGTAATACTAGTGTAAGTTTGTTCCACAGTAAGTCAGTAAAAGGTATTAAGCAAACAATGTTTATTTATATTACATAATATAACCATAGTTTGTAACACGACTGGGGCCTATTTTCCTCTCAGTGCAAATATTTAACTCCCATTAATGTTAACAAGGGGTTACCTAGCAAGTACTTTGGCAAGGGAATAAAACCTGAATTTTAACATTAAGCTCAAGTAAGCTTTCAACTTGAAAGCAGCTTGAAAGTACCTTGTATTAACACTATTTTAATTGCTTCAAAATCTGGATTTTTTTTTTTCCTGTGAGTACACATATACCCAGATAAAAACAATTCATCTTAGAGCTAAGCTGCACTTTTCAGGATGATGGGAAATAACCGTCTGTCACCTTTCTATAAACCGCACAGCTCGCTCCATAGAGGCTGTTAAAGGCAGTGATAAAAATCTTTGAAGAACTCTGCTTTCCTAAGAGCAGGTTTTTCCCCTTACTGCCCTCCACAGAAGSCAACAAAAATCACAGCACTGTTCAGAGCAAAAAAAGCGGAGGAAATCCGTATTATTGGTGAAAAACAAGCAATTTGTTGGCGTCCCGTCTTTCCAGTTTGGGGCAGCTCCTGGTTCAGCTAAGCCCTCTGAGGAGGACAGCAGGGATGTGCCACGCACACAGGATCCGGCCCCTGCCGTCCTGTGAGGGGGCTTTGATCATGGCTCTCCCAAGACATCATTCCAACGCAGAACGCAATTGACCGGCATTGCACCATATGTTCCTTATGCGTGAGCCCCGTCTTGTTCATTAATTTTTATGCCACTACTGCTGGAATTCAGCCAGTGTAATGTGGAGGCAATTAGCAATGTCAGAGTGTTCATGCCAGCATATAATGAGGGGGAGAAAGAAAACGAGAAAGAGCAAGGAGAGGGGAGGGAATTATACTTCCTGCTACAGGCAAGGGTCCTCTCCAGTGTTTTTTTTTTTTTTTTAAACACGTAACTTGAAAACTGAAAGATCTAATAAAAACAGACAGGTGACAAGAAATAAAAGTCTTGTTACAGAAGTCAGATTTACTCACTTATAAAGCCTCTCCTGTAGCTTTCTAATGTGTTCACCTATTTTCAGAGGATGAAACTGAAGAAGCCCTGTGGCCTGATGGCCTCATCTTCTAATCTTACAAACACT